CCCCAAAAAAAAAAAAAAAGAAAAGGATGCCAACGGAGCTACACCGGAGATGCACCCTACTGGGGCCCGTGCAACAATCGCACTACCACTTTGCACCAGGCAACTCGCACGGAACTGCAGAAGGTGACCCACGAGAGGGGAGATGTTAACGTGATGCAGCTGCAGGGTCAGGTGTTGCAAAGAAACCGGCCAGCGATCATGCCACTTGCACCTGCGACGTCTGCAAAGAATCTGGAAATCGATGCGAAGTGCAGCAACGAACGAAAATGAACAAAGCATGCGGCGATGAATTGTGCATCATGACTCCACATCGCTGTACTTAGTTCAGGTGTATCTCACACACCCCAGACAGTTCTACTAACCGGCTTCATGGGCCGTGGTTGCACGGTATCACCAAAGTTTCAAGGTCTAGTCCAGCTGCTGAGATTGCGACGATTGAAAAAGCACGCAACCTCGAAAGCTGAACACCAGGTTCGTGCGACTGAAGCAAGCTGCTTCATTGATCACTGCTAAGATTCAACCTAAACAAACACCCCGAACAAGCCCTCGAATGGCCCAGATTGTGGGCAGAGCACACTTGCTTCGCAGCTTTGGAACTTACGGCACGCGGCCTCAGTGACGAGGTGACGAGAGGCAGTGAAACAACCTGCTGCACTGATCTGCACCGCGCACTACGGCGAGGTTGACGACCAGAGCAGTTATGCTATACTGCAAAATCGCTTCTGCAAATATTCAGAAACACTTCAAGATTCAGACTGGCGTAAAGCAGCAAAAGCTCTAGTCACTGGAATGTATCCAGACACTAGTGAGATCGCAAGAGTACGAGTAGTGACTTGGGCCATGATGTGCCACAGAAAAAGCCCTGAGCTTTCGCAGGGCAGTGGCAATGTGAACATGCGCAGATGCGCATGGAGGAAAGAAAGCTTTCCAGGACTACATATGAACTGAAGCAAACGCCAGCTTCAGTGCTTTGTTTCATTAACACGGTCCTAGTGGTGAAAAAAGAACTTGAGCCTCGAAATCCTGCAGACCTCTATCAATCTAGAAGCTGCCCCAACACAATCTCGACGGTTGCTCAGCGACTCACAAAGGGTAGATCGGGCGCCCTGCGTCTTTGAGACAGAATGCACAAATGCCTAAACATGTCCGCGCATTGTCAGCAGAACGGACTGGACGAAGCCTGAGATTCATGATGTTGGTGGTCTGCTGGAGGGTGATCCGTTTCTGCGTCATGCCCATGATCATGTTGGGATGCTGGCGCAGGTCGAGACGGACAGCAAAATGTACAGTACTACCATGCGGCGATGCTGGAATATGCCAGGAAAGCTGTCTTTGGGCTCCAGCGGCAATCGCCCCAACCCGCAACAGAAAGACGCAGCGGAGCTGAGCTCTGGAACCCCTGGCAGTCTGGACAGTGCGGCTGCTCCAATGTTCGTGTCTGGCTTGGCACCTGTAGCTTCGATTCTGTCTTGGCGAACTGCCTGAATGCCAATGACACAAAGAAGAATAGCTCGCTGTGACTGCCCAAGACGTTCAGACATCGGCGGATGAGTCGTCGAATCAATCCCGTACTCACCTTGAGACGGGCTGACAAACGGAGACTTTCGAATGCTACTACGTGCGTTTTCCGAGGCTTGGACCAGTCCATCCCGCTTGCGAGCCTGCCACAGAAGAGATGAACGGCAAGGTCACTTACAGGCTTCCGGAAGTCCTAACGAGTTCTTGCTTCACTGTCCGGGATCCAGACGGGCAGAGCTTGCACGAGACGGTGGCTCGGAGAGGTTCCTGATAGCTCACAAAAGTCACGAGTGCTAGTGCCGTTGCTGCTACGGCTATTACCTGCCTTTGTGTCCGGGCTGGCACCTCCGAGAAATCTCTGGGCTTCGGCCGCGTCATAAAGCCTGCAATGACAACCACCCTTCCCGTTCACTGCCGTTCACATTCCTGCAGAAGCGTGACAGGCGTGCCGAAGTCGTGCTCGTAGGTGCTCAGCATCTCATGTCTGTCGGCCATCTTGCGTAAATGGTGCTTCACGGCCGCAGTCCTGCAATAGAAAAAGGGGTCCGGGCTTTCAAGCTGGAGCACACCACGAAGCGCCTGTGCATGTGCTGATGGGTCTCGGTCTCGCGGATGTGTCGCGGGTAGACCTACAATGGCGGGACGCGCCCCACTCCCAAATGGAGACTGTTGGAATACTGCTCCTGGACATCGCGAACAAGACGGCCACCGCCCCGCACATCATGCCACTCACCGGCCTCAACAATTGGACAAGGCTCTGCCACAATGTGTAGTCGAAACTGCACACAGTCCTTGCGACAGAAAGTAGACTCAGCCCGAATCTGTTTGCTGATGATCTTTCCCTCTGGGAAAAAGCCTTGGACAGAACTGTGAATCACAGCAGATCACTTGCCTCAAAAAAACTGCCAGAATCGAAGCAATGGTCTCTGGCACGACCGAGACCGTTGCGGCGCGACTGTATTCACGCAGATCTGAGAGATGAAGGTGCAGAAAAAGCTCAACAAAGCAGATTGCCACACTGGTGTGCATCGGCGAAGACTCGCACATCGTCTCAGGACGCAGCAGCCTGTGGCGCCAGCCCCGATGGGTTGGTCATCGGAGCCTCCGAAAAACTGTAGTCCGCTCCGTGCCGCTTTGCAAGTGCCTGCGCCTGAAGACAGCGCTTCGCCTGCGCCCTGCACCCGACGCTGTCACACAGAGAACCCGCACTCTTTGGACCTCTACATGTCTGAGCCAAGACAGTTCTGCGACACCACTGCCTGAAACTGTGTCTGGCTCAGTCCTAGTCGAAGGTTTGACCCAAAAGGTGCGCATTGTTTGTGCCGGGAACGGTGCGAGGCCCATGGCAGTGAGCCGGGCTCCATCTGCCATCTGCCATCTGTCTTCGGCTCAAGAGCCTCGCCCACGGAGACTTCGGGCGAGCATACTTCGTCTGGCAACGAGTCCAACATGTCTACGAAGACCCATACCGTTAGGATAAAGGGACCGAAGTATGCAAACGAATTGAAGAAGCGATGTGTGGCAGCATGTAGCGTACACGGCTTGAGCGCATGGCCGGTAAGACACTCAAACCGGCACCAGCCGTTCTGGTGGTGTTAGCAAGTCCCAGCCAACGGCTCAAGCATTAGCAAGCACGATCAGCCCGAAGCCATCGGCGCAAGGCTCAACCAGTCTTTCCCAACACCTTCTCCTGGAACAGTGTGTACACAACGACTGGACTTTGAATCAAATCCCTCATGCCTGCCAAATCTGCGCCGATTTGGAAAACATCATGTCATAGAGCGGCTTGATGCTGGCATCCTAAGCTTTTGCGCCCCGGCAGCTCAAGTCAAGCCCAGCATCTCCAAGCGAGTCCTGGTAGGTGCCAACGCAAACACCTGCAAGTTTTCCATGCAAACCAAGAGACGCGGCACTGCAGAAACGAGCGAAGCTGAGCTTCGTGCCGGTGCAGAAGCCAAGCACCATCATGCTGAACATCGCCTCCAAAGTTCGACTGATTCTGCTGCAAGGACAAACCATGATCGTGCCTCGAAATCGAACCCCTTCTGATGGACAAAAGGCAACGTAATCTGATCTTCTGCTAAAGCACGCTCGCTTGAGGTAGGCGCGTTCAGCATGCCGGCTGCTTGCTCCAGTCACCTGATCCTTGTCGTGACGGACAGCCCCTTCATTTTTCTGCGTCAGCGAGCCCCTTCACCGAACGTCTGCGACCCCAATACTGCAGCGAAGCTATAACCCTCTAAACGTGCAGCAGTATAAAAGTTATCGTTGGCTGGCGCTTGAACCAGCAGCCCAGATGCGATGCCATGCCAAGAATCTCCTGTTCACAAGGCAAAGGCGGCGTGCTCTTTGGCATCCGACGCTGCATCGCAGCAAACAATCGCTAGTCATCTCCCTCAGTATCCTGCATGGCATCCTCGCCACCTAAGACTGCAGTCATGACAAGCGAAATCGGCTGAAGGCCTCTAACAGAATCTGTAAAGAAGAGTTGAAACAAGACTCGGCAAGTACCATGCTCATCATTGAAGGCCCGGTGTCTTCGCCCTTGCTCTGCATTGTGAGTGGGCTTCACTCTTCGCAGGGCACCTGGCCACACGGCACTTCCATCTGTGGCACATTGCCACTTTGTTGCGGCACCCCCAAAGTCCCGCTTATCTACGACCCAACATGTGATCACCACCTTCACAACATAAGGAAACAAAACTTGCTGTTGAGGCACAATCGAAATCGTGTCTTGCAATATCTCGCGGTCCTCTGTGCGCCTTGTGTCGAAACTTACACCCGCGAGCAAAGCTTTGTTGTTGGAGGGGTCGGAAATTCGAGCAGCGATTGGCACACCACCGGAGACAACCTCCCTGCATGCTGGCCGAAGGATTCGCACATGACGGATTCGAGCACTGGGGAAGGGGATTCGTGCACGCAGGATTCCTGCACTGGCGTGCAGGGTTCACACACCGCATCAGGCTCGAAACAAAATAACAAAAAACCCTGCAGCCTTCCATCCTAGTCTCTCGACTTCTTGACTGTTGATACTTCAACGTCTAAAGCCTTACACCCAAACCCTACAACCCCAAACTGTAACACTCGAAAGCCCCAAACCCTAAACTCCCTAAACTTTCAAAGCCTGAAGACTCGGCTCTCCTTGGAGGGCTCCCTTAGCCCTCGAAACCATGGAACCCTGCAAGCCTGATATCGACACCCACACTCTGAGACCTTAGGGCTTGAACCCACAACTCCGAAACTCTGCGCTTCAGCGTACGAATCGAGTTCTTGAACCGCAAGTGCTCGACTTGCGGACTTGAATCGGGCAGTGCTTGGATCACGTAGCTGGAATCGGAGCTAAACCTAGTGTTCGAATCGCGATTCTTCGTTGTTGGAGCTGTTTCATGGTGCACATGCAAGTCCTTAAACACACAGGACTGGAATGCTCGAGCTCAAGCAAAGCTGCAGTGGAGTCCCCACTGTGTCGGAGGCGCGCAGCAGCGACCTCACGCACCGGACCCATAGCCGCTTCACACAGCAGCTGCTGTAGGTCCGAGCAGGAAAATCCTGCAGGGAAGTGGAACGAGACTCACTGCACTTCCTAAGAACTACACATCGCTTTAGCTGCCTGGCCTTCGGTGTGCTCAACAACGTAGTCGATGTCGGAGGCACTCATGTCTCCCTGAAGGCCGACTTTAGAGTTGTGCTTTGCCAGCTGAGCCACCAAGAGGGATCTCCGGGCTCTTCTGCCAGGCAGGGGCACATAAAGGCGCTTCGGCAGCCTGCGTAGAACAGCATGATCCAAGTCCCAAGGCATGTTCGTTGCGCCAACGCAGAGAATCTTCTCGTCAGCTGCCGTCTCGGCACCCTCCAAAGAAGTTAGGAACTCATTCTTCACCCTTCGCGATGCCTCGTTGTCGGCGTCACGACGCTGGCTTAGTAAGGAATCGATTTCATCCAAAAATATTACGGATGGCTGCCTATCTGCGGCCAACTGAAACAGAGCCTTCACCGTCTTCTCTGCCTCTCCGATCCACTTGGACATGACAGATGAAGCATTTATGTTGAAGAACGTTGCTCCACACTCTGCAGCTATCCACTTGGCAAGCAGTGTTTTGCCCGTGCCAGGTGGTCCAAACAATAGCAAGCCGCGCGCTGGTTTGGTTAATGCCGACAGGAAGAGCTCGGGATGCAAACGTGGCAGTATCAAGACCTCCTCGATCTGTGCTTTGACGAAGCTCAATCCAGCAATGTCCTCCTTCTGCACGGCATCAGCATCCGTGCGGTGGATCGTTGCCTCAAGGGGTTGAAGAGAGTCACAAGATTCAAATGCCTCTGGATCCGCTGAATGTCTTACACTATGTGCTTAGTGGTTTCAACGATGCCCGCGAGAGTCCCAAAAGGGGATCTTGGTCAGCTGGGCGCCTCTAATGCGGGCACCAGTCTTTCGAGCTGGTCTGCATCTGCGATACGCAGCCAGGCGTCGCTCCACTCACGCTGAAGCTTGTCACTGCCATCTGCAAGACGCTTCGGAGCACGGCATTTGGAATCTCGTTTCAGGATTGACTGGCTGACGTCGTCAAACTCCTGCTGCTTTTTTAGTGTGCAAGGCTGTGGTTGACTTTTGTGGGCCACCTCCGGAAAGAGGTCCGCTGCGCTCCGAAAGCTACTCACGTGTCCAGCTCTAGCCGCAGCCTCAACACCGATGTCACTCTCCCGGGACTCATTCCGAGCGTGGCTTTGTCCAGGATTCGGGAATGTGACTGGGTTACAAGCTGGAGCTGCAGCATGTGCTTCACATGCCTCCACGACCGATGCCTTTTTAAAGGCAGGAGCATTCGATTCCGAACTGACAGGTTTCAAAGCCGCAGGAAACGGAGGTACAGTGAGAGATCGCTTCCAGAAAGGCTGTGAACGCAGTCGCAGCAATTCCTCCTCAAGTTCAGCAGTGTCATCAACTAGCTGCACCACCTCCCCTGGTGGGACGACTGACAGGCGGGGCAGGGTCTCAGCCTGCGCTGCAAAACAAGATACCAACTCATCCTCGACATGATCCCAAAGTTCGCCAAGGACTTGGGCGGACTCCTTCGAACCTTGCTCGGCGACACACCCTTGCTCGCTTAATTGGCCCAAGATCTGTAGCTCTCGCTCCAGCCGGAGCTGCCTGTCCGCCATGTTGGCTCCTTTACCAAGTGTCCGCGAGATGGACTCTTTGATCATCGAGGCTGCAAGCTGTGAGTAGAGCTCATTGCGTTCGAGCTCGCAGCGGACTGGACTGGAGGAAGCCATTGTTAACGACGCAGGCAAAAGGATGATGTTGATGACCCTCGCAACTCCAGAAAGAACTTATTATGCCGCTAGCTGTGCTGGTGAACGTAATGCAAACTCGAGTCTCCGGTGCCTGTCATCATGCTCGGGCAATGAGCCCTGGACGGCCACGGGCTGTCGCATGCACACCACATGCCGGCCGCAGGAAATGCAGCACTGCACGACGTTTGTTTTGAGCTATGGAAGCTCAGAGCGTCCATCACTCATGGCTCACACAGCTCGCTCTAGTGCAACGTAAGTTTCAACGATGTTGTAGCATCAGGCGTCTAGATGCGATACCCGTTCGAGTCCCTTGAAATCAGTGCTGCCATGCTTCTTGCTTCTGAATAACAAACCATGCAGTCAAGTTAGGCTTGGCTTGCAGCTACATTCCGCGCGAGCAGGCCACTTGGAGTTAGCTGCAAAACTTGCCCGAATCAGTCAGACGGAATGACCTCAGGACAGAACGACAGTGCCGCTCCGAAAATGGCCGGACAGTGACCAAGACCGCGGCCATCAAGGGGAAAAACTCCAGGCATCGCTGCCGCAGCCGCCGCCAAGCAGTAGAGTCCTCTGAGAGGTCGGATTTCAAAAAAAACGAGATAGAGACTCACGGGACACTTTACCGCTGAAACGCTAGACTGTGCCTGACACTGCAAACTTCCACCATCCTTGCCGAACTCTTGTGCCAAGTAATCGAGAAGCTTCTTGCTCTCCTTCAAGCAAAGGACCTGGTTCGCACACGCGTGGCAAAAAGCTGCGCAACAGGGCAGGCAGCATGGCTAGTTGCGATGTAGACGGGCATCTAACGACAGCGTAGGAGTAGGCAAACAACTATCACATACTAGCGTCATGTTGGAGACACTTGTCTTCAAAATCTTTGTAAAGGAGCACATGCCTAACAGTTTGTCATCTGTATCACTATCAGATGTATTCTTAAATAGTCTCTTAGCTAGTCGACCCATCATTAACGAAGAAGGCGACAGCCCTGAAGAACCTTCGACACCCGATGGCGAGCATTGACCCCACGTGAATGCTGGGCAACTTCGTGACAGTCCGACGTGCCAGCCAACAGATTTGCAAGACGCACTGGAAGGGCTTCCACTCGAACACAAGCAAACATTCCGTGGATTTGGTGGAGACGACGTAAGCGCAGTGGCAGCTCAGTTCAGCTTGCCAGTTTGAGGAAGGCCCAACTGCCGTAACCCCTGGAAGTGACAGCTCGACGAGGCAAAGCTCGGGAAACGACTCCAGGAGGTGTCCATGCCTCATGGAAAGGACGAGAGCACATCGAATGGGCTCTTCTCTGTGCTTCTTGTCAAGCCTCCAACAAGGCCTTGCAGTCTCTGCCCGCACTTCTCAGGCACTTCAGACCTAAGCTGGGCTTTGCGAACTGGGGAACTCTCAGTGTGGTGCTCAAGGCTTCGGCCGTAGAGCACCTCCACGAGGAAGAGATCCTTGGACTCCTGCTAAACAGGAACTGCTACGCCCTAAGCCTAAACATGCAGTGAGAGTCACACCGCCTTTATTCGACGCTCTACAGCATCGACGAGCTTTGATGCTGCCTCGTGCAGAAACAGGAAGCAGACGCGGGTATACATATGCAGTTGGATTTCTGGACTTGGCCTGTCTCATGTCTGACACAGTGCTGAAGGGTTCTGCACCTTCAACAAGCGCAGATGCCGCAATGGATCATGCCCGAACTGAGACTGAAACCGTCTTGGCCGGTCAAGATCGGAGCAATTTCCGCGAGGGCCTGACATGTGAAACAAGCGCTGGTTGAAAAACTGCTTGTCAGAAAGACCAAGCGTTGAGCCACTTCGCGAACCACTGCGGGGACAGAACTGTTCCTCGGCATTCGGACCGCACTTCCCAAAACGCATGGCAGCTTGCAGTCCACACTGGGCGCGCAACTCCAGATCCTGCATTGTCAGTTCATGACAGTCAAGAGTGTTGGCAGACCACGAAATCTTCAGAACAGGAGAGCTGGACAGTGCCTGCCTGCTTGAAGCAGAAGTTGGCAAGCCTGGGCAGTCGCGGTAATATGAGCAGTTGCAGAGACAGGTACATGAGACGACCAGTGCTGACATCCGGACGGGGCTATCAGCTTGTAGTGATGGTTGTCATACCCAGCAAGTTCCCATAGCTTTCTAAGGGCCTGCCGAACACAGCCAGCATCTCCAGAAGTTGGAACAACTGAAACGCATCTTCGCACCACTCTCGTCTTCTAGTGAAATCGAATCAAGGGCATCCGTTACGACAGCTGGGCATGGGAATGACTCAGAAAGACCTTGTTGCTTCCGGGAGGTTGAAATGGCCAAGCGAAGACAATGGTCGAAAGAGGATTCGGGAATCGATGCACGAAGCCTAGGCATGCTGAGGCATGCTTCGCGACCACTGCTAATATCCTCGTTGAACCTTGCCATTGATTCGCAAGCGTCAAGGTGGTGTGGCGTCTTGCCGGCAACCTTTTGAATTCCTTGACAACAGAACTTGTAGCGCATCACAGTTCTGAATACATGCCCTCGGGACAGCAGTGGATGTGGATCAGTAAGTCCGCATGCACAGGTTGAGAGCGATGTTGTGCAGAGAGTTCGAAAAGCAAAGCCTGAGTAGAGACGAGCAGTGTTTCCTCAGGACGGCTGCTGGTCATGACATGAGCCGTTCGCTGCAATGTGCGCACAACACCTGCATACCCAACGCAGAGCCAGACTTTATGTCTACACAGACAAGGACAGAACTGCACGGCAGCACCAGAGAGGGATGTAGAGAACCGACTCCAAGTCACAACACAACAAGAATCTGCAGCTTTTATGTCCGTGTTAATTCTTGATGCATATGATGCCCATGTCATGTTTATTGATCAGCTCAAGTGTCTTCCTGTGAATGCTGCTGTCTCACATTCTGGTTGTCTGCTTGCGCATGCAAGCCTGGATGAAGCGTTTGTTGGCTTTCATCCCACGCCGATGAGACCCTAACCGTGTTGGACTATGCCACAACCCCGTCATCACATCTCAGGTGCTTCGACTGATGGCACCTTGGACCAGGCATCCAGCACCAGCTCCTTTTCAAGGGCCAGCCATGCCCAGCATCAGCGGTTGGACCCAGCATCAGCAATACCAGATGCCTTTCAGTTTCGGCTGGTGGCACGGCTTGGACCAAGCGGTAGCGGCACCCCATTTGTGGCCACACACAGCCCGGCCGTCACATTTCAGGCGCTTCGGCTGATGGCACCTTGGACCAGGCATCCAGCACGAGCTCTTTTTCAAGGGGCGAGCCATGCCCAATTCGGCTGGTGGCACGGATTGGACCAAGCGTTAGAGGTTAGCAGCACCAGCTTCTTTTCAAGGCCCCAAACGAGCCCAGCATGGCCCAGCATCATCAGCATCAGCGCCCCACCCTTTTTTGGCCACACGCAGCCCGGCATCGTCACCATCACATCTCAGGCGCTTCGACTGATGGCACCTTGGACCAGGCATCCAGCACCAGCTCCTTTTCAAGGGCCCAGCCATGCCCAGCATCAGCGGTTGGACCAAGCATCAGCAACACCAGCTGCTTTTCAGTTTCTGCTGGTGGCACGGCTTGGACCAAGCGTGAGCGGCACCAGCTTCTTTTCAAGGCACCAGACGGGGGGCCCAGCATGGGCCAGCATCATCAGCATCAGCGCCCCACCCTTTTTTGGCCACATGCAGCCCGGCATCGTCACCATCACATCTCAGGCGCTTCGACTGATGGCACCTTGGACCAGGCATCCAGCACCAGCTCCTTTTCAAGGGCCCAGCCATGCCCAGCATCAGCGGTTGGACCAAGCATCAGCAACACCAGCTGCTTTTCAGTTTCGGCTGGTGGCACGGCTTTGACCAAGCGTTAGCGGCACCAGCTTCTTTTCAAGGCCCCAGACGGGCCAGCATGGCCCAGCAACATCAGTGGCACCAGACGGGCCCAGCATGACCCAGCACCATCAGCATCAGCTCCCCACCCTTTCCAGGGAGCCCCGCATCATCAGCATTACACTGAAGCGTTTCCACTGGCAGTACACAGTTCCCCACTTTTGTTGGCCAAGGTGCCTCACATCATGAGCATCACATCTCAGGCGCTTCGACTGACGGCACAGTTGGACCAAAAATCATGAGCACCAGCTCCTGATCAAGGTGCCGGCCATGCTCCGCATCATCGGCATCAGCTCCCTGCTCTTGAGGCCAAGGCACCACCCCAGCTGCCCGAATTATGTCGCACCGAGATGCACCGAGAGAAACGTGGGGGGTCCACGAACTTGGGGAGAGACCTGAGCAAGTAAGGAAGAAAGAGCCGGGGGGGTGAGGCGCCATGAAATGATAAGGCGCCGTGAAAGGCCAAGCATGGAATCTTTTTCATCATCAGAGTACCAGGACGGCCTGCAAGCAGTGGATGACTTTCCCTTGCCGGCTGAACACTTCGTAGGTCAGCACCTCATACAACAGATTCCTCTACAAATTATGAAACACTTGAGCCGCATCAACCTACTGCAGATCCCTGGGATGATGACATGGGTCGCTGCATCCAGAGAACTGTGCTGCACCAAGTTGCGAACCTTGATTTCAAGCTGCCTTTCGGCCGGGCACCGCGAAGACCGGCAAGGATTGGCTCAGGTTCCAACAATCTTGTTGGCCTGTTCCATGGCGTCTTGCTGCCTTGAAAACTGCATGGCTTTCTGGTTCGCAATAGGCATCTCAATTCTTTACCTTTTTGAGCTCATGGCAAGAGCTTCTCTCCGTCCGGATCATCATCGACCTTCTTCTGCTTACCTGTCGACCTGCACAGCCAAGCGCCCCAATTGCCAACAGGGTACACGCATGCTTCAGTGTCTAGTCGTGCACCAAGGTACGGCTTCTCGCTGACCTTCTGCGCCTCCTTCTGCGCCTCAGAAGACAGAGATTCGTCCTTCCTCTCTTGAGCACTCCAAGTTGGACCTCTCGCTTCTTCTTGTGCTTCAGCTTCTTTTTCTCCTCAGCGCTCAGCTCTGCCTCTGCACCTGAGGGCCAGCACATCGAGAATGCACTAAGGCGCATCTTATCTGAAGGCGGCGGAAGCCTTTCTGCAACAGCCGGGGCTTGCACTCGCAGAGGCGCCTGCAGCAGAAACAGTCGGGGAACGCCACCGGATTCCAAATCCAAGGCAGTCGGCCTTCGGTGGTCAGAATTTCGTCGCCCCGAGCTTTGGCATCCTAGAGCGCAGCACGATGAGTCGGTCGAAACATTCATCCAAGACTTTCTGCACCGTTCCATCTGGGGCAGATGCAAACAGCTCGAGGTAAATGTTGATGGCGTCCTCCACAAGTTTTGGATTCAGTGCACTGAAACCAACCCCCATCAGAGCAGCCTTCGCAGCACGACGATAGAATCTGTGCGAATACAACCTGTCGAAGGCTAGCGAGCACAATGCAGGAATGCAAAGTCCCGAAACTGCCCAAAACATGCTTGATGTGCAGCCAGACGAAACAAAGATACAGGTCAACATGATGACTCACTCTGAGCTGAGCGACCGCTCTTGCATTCGCAGCATTGCGACATACGCCTGCAGCAACCAGGACACGGAAGCCAGATACAGATTCCCAATTCGTCACAGCTGGGGCCTTAAGCGTAGTTTTCCGCAAGCAATAGTTGTGAAAATCGAACTGGTCCTCAGCAATGTCATGGAAGTGCTTGAAGGTCTCGTGGAACCTAGGAAGGATCAACTGGAGTCAGTTTGCCGTCAAGACAGGAGACAAGCCATGTAATTTCCATGGAGCATTTTATGAGCATCGGCCTCCTGATTTTACCACTCGCGGCTTCCGTCCGCAAGTCCGTCTTTTCCTCAGAGCCTTCAGCGACGTGCACGGGATGAACTGTGCAACTTCCGATTAATCGGAAGATGCTGGAAGAGCTCCTGTTTGCTGTCCTCCACCGCAACCAAGCCCTGGCGACCAACCACTGCTCCAGAAGGTCGGTAGTCAGCGTCGGGCTTTTTGGCGAGAGCTGCGGCACTGACTCCAGAAAGTCTCCGAAAGGGTCGGCATCAGCGTGGAACCTCGGCCTGCTGGTCGCCTAGCACAAGTCTGCAGCTGCAAGGCAGCGTCGAAGTCCGTTCGTTATCGGCCTGGCAATAACTCTGCTGCTTCGTCTGCATCGTCGCCACTTCCGTCCATGGCTTGCCCGATGCACGCAGCTCCGGGAGTGCTGGCAGCTTCATCAGTGCCAGTGGCGTCTATCGGGCTACAGGCAGCAGGAGAAGTTTTGTCCGAGTCCAACATAGAGAGATTCTGCCAGTTGTGCAAGCTCCACAAGCTTTTCATGATGAGCCCACTGAACAGCAGCAATAAGCCGAGTGACTGTGCCAACGTCGCATACTGCGGTCGCAAGACGTAAGATGCACATATCGTGGTGATCTGCCTTGCATTCATGGCTGCTGCCAAGGCAAGGGCACCGAACTCCTGGACCATGGAGAAAATATAAAATTGTCCAGCGGTTGCTGACAATGACAGTAGCACGACGTCGGTGGCGAACTCCAGGTGGCCTGTGAGGAAAGTGTAGCAATAAAGTACGGAGCGAGTAAGAACCAGGGATGCGACGCCAACCACTGCTGAGCTCAGATTCATATACAACATCTGGTTGTACTTGGACATGTGGCTCTCTCTAAAAAGCTTTTCCTGGAATGTGCTCGTGAAACCATCGAAGAACAGGAAACCAAACAGGAGCAGCAGCCCATACCAACTAGATCCGGAGGCATGCTCGGCTTTGATGTCCCCTCCGACCACGAAGCATGTAATTCCCACAGTAATCAGAGCAACCGTCAGTACGTCCTTCATCGTATGCTGCTTCTTTGACACGATGATTCCCATCAGCATTGTCGGCAGCATCTTGAAAGTCTTTGCCATCGTTTGCAGAACCAAGGAAACGTGCCGCAATGATTCGTACTGACACCACGTGCTGAGCATGTTGGAGAATGAAGCAGCTGCGTACTTCCAAAGTTTGGTCTGCGGTCTCCAGCTTTGGCCAGTCTGTTCGAGCATAATGAACGCATAGAGCACGGAAAAAATCCGATTGCATAGGACGAGAAACATTGTGGCCTTGAAAACCTCATCATTATATGGCTGTGAAACGATTCTCTCCTGAAGAAAGCTATAAATGCCGATGGTGACAATGATGCCGGCGGCCAGATACAGACTTCGCAAGAGTCCGCGGAGCCAGAAAGGTGTCTTGCGTGCCGCATTAAGTCGACATGGACACATCATTCACATCCGCTTCCACAGATCCTGAAACGGAGCTCATGCCCGTCAATATGCAGAGCATCGGCCCGTTACACAACCCTATCCATCACCGCTTGAGGCTAGGTATGCTGAAAGCGACACTGTGCTACTATGCATGTGTGCAACACTGAGCTCCTTGTTCCTGCTAGGAGCAGAAAGCCGCTGCAATGATTGGGACTGAATCATGAAGACAAGGCTCACTCTAGATCCACTATGAAGCACTTGCCAAGCTCCGAGCTGCTTCAATGCCTTTCCATACTTCTTTTGCCGCTTGTAGCTGCGACCGACCTCACCAATTCGAGTCTCCAAACAAACCTGTCCGACAGCAAAGTGTAGCAGGCTTGTGCTTGTACGACTTCTGTCTAGGTCCGGCGCCACATGTGGAAGCGACAGACGAACCACCAGCAGCTAGTGGCTACAATTCGGCAACGGTCACAATGCCAAACTTGATTTCTGGGATCCGGGCAGCAGACTCATACCACATGCACTGCATGTCATGTAGATTTGCGGCCTTTGCCGGTGCAGGTATTCGGCAGCAGGCTGAACGTCCAGCAACGGCTGACAACTCGCCTCCTGTGAGTCAGGCTCTTTCGAGAACAGCAAGGCCTCGGCAGGTTGGTGATACCACCCATGGCTTCAAGCTGCCCTCGCGATGCCTTCTCCATGCCGCCTTGAGTATCGTCGACCCGAAGAAGGGCCCTCGAGGCATCTCATCATGGCGTGACCGTTTTTGCATCCCTTCCTTGTTGAGAACCGCGGTTCACGCAAACTACAAGTGTCGGGCCTGACGCATTGAGTGTTCAAGTACCGGTCAGCCAAATCCATTTGCCGTACCTTCCAAGGACCAAGACGAGTCGACTTGGTTGAGCCCTTCGTCGTGCTTTGCACGCGCCTCCTCGTAGCACTGCGCCGAATTTACCAGGTCGCCTGCCTCGCACGCAGATCTCTACAAAAAGCTTGTGGTCTCTGTTTGGACGCATGTTGATACAAACGTCAAGGCCCCTGCATGCTTGTAGATTCGGGCCTTGCATGCGTAGACCTTGCAAGTCGACTGATGGTGCGTATGGAATCCTCTTTTTCCTCGTGCTGCCTCCACCAAAGTCGGGGTGTGCGCGATTGCTTCGTTCACATACTCCAGAGCCTCCAGGAAGGAATGGGTGAAGAAACTTGATGATCTCAGCCCAGCCATGCCTTGTGGGTCTCGCCCATGAAGTCGAAATGTTCAGCGACCGTCTGAGAATGAAGCCACTAGTCATTTGACTGAATGCTCTGCAGACCCAAAGAGAGTCGGGCCATGAGGGTGAAAAGCAGAGCTGACGGTGGCTCTTCATCGCTGACCTCAAGAGAAGCTAACAGTGTCACAGCTGCCGCGCCTTCCGACCGCCTCTATGTCCTGCCTCGGGTGGCTCTGCCTGCTCCCCGGTAAGTGGTCCGAACCTTGGAAGAACTCTCTTAAAAAATACTCGCTCTTGCAGTACTACGCCTTGCTGGGGCATATGCCATGACACCTTCTCATCTTTCAAGCAGCGCACGTACTGCAGCAGCAGCTCTTCGATCCTGAGCAACACCCCTTTGAGCCCGAGACTGACCTGACCTGGTCACATGACCTCTCGAGCAAACGTGACGGGTTTGCAGCTCTGGCTTTCCGGGCCTGGCGACGACATGCTGCCGCACACCAGGCCAGGCGTAGCAGGAAGTGTTCTGACTCTGAGGTACGCACGTGAAATAATAAGAGCGCATGGTGCGGAAGAGTGATGGAACACCTGAAGCCATGAGAAGCAGCAGCTTGAACAGCAGTTGCAGACAGGCGCTGTGGCCTTTTCGGAGCCTGCTTCGCAGGTACTCATCTAGCTTGCGCTTGAACCTCTGTCCCGTCAGGAAGAAGAGGGGCAGCCTGCCGCCGTGCCCCGACAAAGATTTATCAAGCCTGTATGCTTGTTGCATATTTCAGAGCATTTCCGACGAAAGCCCCAACGCCTTTTCAATGAGTCCGACTTTGGATACGCGTCTTTCAAGCCCTCAAAGAACTGGATCACCTGCCGTTCCAGCTCAAACAGAATGCCTCATGCGAAGCCCTTGGATATTGTGGCGGGGTTCCTCGTCCTCTTGCTGCTCGGTCAGGGGTTCCTAGGGCATCTCGCGAGGCGAGTGGATAGCCACAGCGCAGGCACAGGCATGTTTAGAGCTGATACCTGCATTTTGTGAGGACGGTGCGGCCGGTTCGAGCGTGTCAACCCGTCGCTTATGCCTGCAATCTGTAAAGTCAACAGTGATAACTTCAGCAAGGCATCGCGTGTGAAGAGGAATCATCAAGTCGCGCAGGGAGCACTGCTTCCGACCGATTATCAGTCTGCGCTGCGGTTTGAGCGCATGCTTTGGTGGCAGCCAGCCAAACACAGGCATACCTGCCCAAGTCCACAAAGACACAACGCCAGCAACTCTGCGAGGTGGCTCCAAAGCTTACGCGACCGATGCCACGCACCACAAGAGAAACTCTCGGCTGTACCACGCTGCACAGGGCTGAGGAGTGACAGGCGAAACTCCAATGAGGCCTTCTGGATGCAGCGTTGATGGGAAGGACAGAATGCTTTTCGGCAGCTCTTGTTTCGACGCCTAAATTCTGCACTCGCGCCACCAGATTCAGTGAAGGCCCGCACTCTGGACTTTGCAGCTCGGCGCACGGCAGCAGTCCCGTTGCAAAGGTCGCTATGCTCGTCGGGCGTCGTCGGGGCTGGCAGCGGAGGCCTCTGACTGGCACTGTGAAGCTGAGCAACACTACAGGCAGACCCACGACCCCAGCACCGGCTTGAGAGTCGCACCAGAAGGAGCTGAACTGTGGCTGGGAAGCCTCGGCAGGCAGGCACCAAGAAGCGGTGAAGCCTTCTTCCCGCATTGTTAAGCTGAGGGATGAACCATGTATGCTAAAGCATAGACGTGATGCTCAGTGTTGATGTCGACCAGCCTGCACGAGTCCACATAGGATTGGCAAGCCGGACTGTACAACATCGCGGGCCTCTTGAAGTATCCGGCTGCTTCTTCATACAGGGACAAGAACATGCAAAGCCTCCCCTGCATTTCCATCAGGCCGATCCTGCAAGGAAGGGGTCAACTTTTCACATTTCGACCGGGCCTTGGTCGAGGCGACGCAGACCCGGAACATTCAAAAAGGGACGATAGTAAGCTCAGTTTGGCAGAGGCAAGATAGGACGCATCAATGAGTCTTGACGGATCAGAGGCCGCAAAACAGAAATATTGTTCTTCCAAAAGTCAAGACATCTGAGAAAGGGGCTTGTCGACAATCTTGCCCTCGTTCTCTTTCAGGCAGTTCAACGACTCCTATCAAAGAAACCGTGAACGTCGAGAAGGCGGCAAGCTCTCCGACCGGCAAATGGTAGCCTTCAGCAGACCAGCTTCTTCCATGATGGATGCCTCCAATCGAGGCTGATATGTTCTTCTTGGCTTGCTCCTCAAAGCCAGGACGCTGGCCTTGTACAGATGCAGCTCCGAGTTCTCGTAGTCGGAGGCAGCAGTGGTATCCTGCTCCTGCACAGCAGGTGCATCTAAGCATGCCGGCGTTAACTTCAAACTGCATGCTAAGGACGACAGAAGGTATGCTCCTTGAACGAGTTTTCGTAGTTGTCGATACATTTCCAGGCGAGTTCGTAGTTTTCGCATAGGTGCTCAGCAATGGCATACCCGACCTGCGACACGAACGAATGTTTGCTGAAAGTTGCAGACCGACGGATACACAATAATAAGTGCTTAAGATCCACACCCAGTTCAATCTGGCGGACGACTTGACCTCGTGACAGCAGACAACCACGGTTTCGTACCTGTTGCTTGTGCGACTCCAAGAACCATGACGGCACACCGCCTGCAGCAATTTGCGGCGGGTCTCAGCAAAACCGTGAACGTCGCGCCCTTAGGGAACATGGACAAGTACAAACTCCACCAACGTTAGACGAAATTCATCTACTGGGCTTGCAGCGGTGGATCTGGAGCAAAGACAGATCTCTTAATATCTGGAGGTTTTCCTGATCGATCCGCAAGGCCTCCGCAACATCGCATTCGCCACCGGTGACAAACCGCCTGTCTAATTGTACCTATCCCGTAGTTTGCCCAGGGCCTGTCGGTAGCACTTCACAGCCTCGAAGCACCCGCTTCCAGACGTGTGCTTTTTCGCTCAACAACACCGCCCACCACACTTCACAGCCTCGAAGTAATCTCGATCTTGTCGGTACAGCAACCCATATACCTGACTGACCACAAGCTGGCAATCACAGACCAACGGATGAGTTTCAAGAAGTGCTAAGAGCGCCGCATGCCAGCATACGTGACTCTTCAAGTCGCATTTCAAGCCCTGCACAGGAACACAGATAAACGTCAGCTGTTCATTGCTGACGACTTTCGGCCTTGCGCACGAGCTCATAAGCTTCCTCTTTCCGGTCTAAGTAGCTCACGGTGAGACCCTGGCAATGTCGCCCTCTGATTACTCCACACGCTGTGCAATACCTGCCAGACGGCCAGCCTTCATGCACAAGGTCTCCCCATGGTCCGGATGCTTTTTCAAAATGGAATCAGCTGCTTTTAAGCCTGCGCATTGCAGGGCATCTCAATTCCCACTCCAGGCCCAGATGCATGCACGCAGCAAGACACAAGCACACAAACACGGACGCCGAGCCAAGCAGGCCTTTTTTGTACTGCTTGGTTTCATAAAACTTTACGATGGATCGAAACACCGCCTGCAACAATATCAAGGCGATCTACTTCAAGCAACGTAAGCCGATGCGACAGCCTTTCTGTTAATTTGCTCTTGAGTGCTATCCTGCCTGGTCCTTTGCCGGGAGAGCTTGCGACATGGCCGCGCAACGCAGACAGCAAATGAACCCTGAATGATACTGACATTATGCTTGGAATGTGGTAGTCAGGTAGTCGCTTGCTGCCCCAACCCAGCCAATCAATTTGTGTCTGACCCTGCTTGCAAAAACCAACAGCCGACATGAAACTACGCTCAATGGTTCAAAGGTTGTCGTGATTCACGACATAGCAGAATGCCTATATAAGCTCCCGTCGCAGCAGAAGCCAATGCAGACAAGAGCACGACATGTTCCGAGGGCTTCTCGTCACATCACTCAGAGGAACTTGACGGGTTTTGAAGAAGACTGAACTGCACAACAAATCGTTCCTTTTAACAGAGTGTCTGCGCCGTTTACAATTGAGGTCAGCCTGCAAGGTTATTCGTCGATGTAAGCCTTCGGAAATGCAAAGATCTCACGTTGAGGCTTCAACAACATGGCTTTTTCAAACGCAGTTCCTAACAGCTTCTCTGCACTGGTCCATGCTTCCAAGTTTTTCGCTGCAAAGTTTGGTTCCAAAGTTTGAAAGAAACGATAAAAGCTTTTCCACTCGTGGGGGCGAGGCGATGTAAACCTTAAACCCTAAGTCCACACCCTCAAGCTTATAGGTGCCTCGGTTGATTTTAGCCCTTCTTGGATGCAGCCGAAGCCTTACACCGCAACCCTAAACCCTAAACTCTAAGCCCTAAATCCACAACCTGAAGCTTACAGCTGCCTCGGTTGCCTTTAGCGCTAAAACAAAAATTTGAAGCCTTAAACCCCAGCAGCGCTTCCAAATCCTAACTGTTCAAGGTTGTTTATGCCAAGAAGCAGCATACGCAGGGCTCTAAACTGAAACTGCACAAACAGTTTGCAAAATTTACAGTGCATTTGAGGCCCTCATGAGTTGTTTGCAAAATAAATTTTCACAGCTCCTGGGGGCCCACACAGGGGCGCGGCATTTGGGCGGAGCCCTGTAAAGCAAAACAAAACATGCGGTTGAACTCAACGGAAAAATCGTCGGAACTGTCAAGATCTGTTCTTTTCAGGAAAAGGTCTAGAAAACTGTAAAACACGACTCGCAGGGGAAAACAGCTAAGACCGCCCTGCGAAGCATTTTGGGCTGAAAACTGTGAAGCTGCAG